GTAGAAGCCAGAGTGGTGCCACAGCACCTTACTTTTCACATCAGTTATGGGCTCAAACTCGGGTCCAGAACTTTACCAACTGAGCCATTTCCTTAGTCCTCAGTACATTTTCTTAATATCTGTTGTAATGTGGACAATGGAGTAGGTAACTCATATTAAAATGATTGTAAGTTAAACTTTTATTAACAAGTATCTTCTGCTAAATGTATAATTGGCCAGATGATTATGATAGGTCATAACAGCCGTTTCTAAGTAGACCACAATGATAACCTTTCACCCTCTTGCCAGTATCTGTACATCTCATCCTAAACTGTGAACCAGGAAGCAGAGCATCACTGACTTAAGTTCTGCTGGCTGATGGATGACACCATCACTATTTACGTGAGCCACAGCGACATGGTTGGTTCTTGAATTACCCCAACAAAAAGTGAGTCTTTGCTTATACTGTCTAGACTCCATTACAAGACCACACAGAAAATGTTACCACTGCTAAAATTTAGAAGTCATTAACAAGATAAATGCATCTTCGGAATTCTTAGTATTTTATTGGTGTTAAATAGGACAAAGCTTTCATATTTTACACATTGTTCTATAGATCTCTATTTCTGAGGTTTGCAGGATGTGTTTTTACAACTTTTTAGACAGCAAATCTTCTTCCCAAGGCTGTAAATCTGTGGCTGCTAACAAACTGTCCAGATTACATATGACACTCTTTAAACAACCCAGGGATTGATGTCAACCTTCACCTCACTATTGCAAACTTCTTGCAAGAAAGGATCATGTGTTCTGAGCTTCTGTTAAACAAGAGATCCCAAAAGCATACATATAAAAGACTGTTAACTACAGATAAATTCATTTGCCCCACTCTAGCAAATTATATGTATATTGATCCAAAGTATAAGTAATATTTTAATATTTTAAGCTTGATATTCATTTTATTGGATGAAGTTCAATGGCATGAACCAGAGTTAAAATTTATTGAAATAAAATAAAAAATCAATCTGAACATTCCTAATAATCCACCAAGTGAATATTTTCTTTATTTTTGAGGTGAAGGACCAGCACCTTCAAGACATTAATTCAGACCAAGCTTACAGTAGACAAGGACATAGCTATTAGGGATTTGTGAAAACCTTCAAAATACTCTTGAACTATATGTGTCACTAACGTAGAGAGTTATTAGAACTACAACATGTTCATACATTATAAACATTCAAAAACATAATCCAAGAATAATAGTAACTGAAATTGCATATATTAAGAAATGTTGCTGGGTGGTGGTTGGTGGCACACACTTTTAATCCCAGCACTCATGAAGCAGAGGCAGGAAGATCTCTGAGTTTGGGGACAACCTGATCTACAGACCAAGTTTCAGGATGGCCAGGGCTATACAAAGAAATCCTGTCTCCAAAAAAAAAAAAAAAAAAAAAAAAAGGGAGATTTTTTTTTTAAAGCAGGGCCTAGAGAGATGTCTCAGCAGCTAAGAACACTGTCTGTTTTTTTTCCAGATGACCCAGGTTCAATTCCCAGCACCCACATGGAAACTCACAACTGCCTATAATTCCAGTTCCAAGGGACACCTTCACACCAATGCACATAAAGTTAATTTTTTTTAAAATCAAGAACAGATACTCAAACCACATAGGAACAAACATTAGAAGTTTTTACTCTATCTCTTAATATTCCTCTTGGAATATTATACTATTGTATTTCAATGTTTTATCTTCTCATGGTTACTTTTATCTTCCCAGAAGGAGCAAAAGAACTCCAGTATCCAGCTGTAATTCAGGGTTCATGATGATGAATAAATGCCCTCAACAATAAGGGGGAAATATTCACTTTGTTCTGATAGCTGCAAAAGTAGTCACACTATTCTGCATCTTAAGTCTAATCTGCAGTAACTAATTAATGTACTTATTAGTTAATGTTAATATTATTAACAATTAATTAACTAGCTAATTTAACAATTCACACAAGGTATTTGCATAAATTAAGCAATAAAATGAGAATATTCATATAACAATTATCTCATTGCCCTCTAAAGTAGTTTTATGCAAAGGGGTCTTGTGAGACAATTTCAAACAAAACAATCTGAAGGTTACAGCTTTATTACTTCAAGGTAAATGTTTAACTTCTTTTTTTATGATTGTAAGTAAAGTTTCTTTTTTCTTTTTTTAAATATTTTTTCTTATTTTACATATTGATCCCAGTTCCTTCTCCCTCCCATCCTCCCATGCCTCCCACCGACCACCCCATCCCATCCACTCCCCAGGGAGAGTGAAGCCATCCATGAAGGATCATCAAAATCTGTTAAGTCTAAATGTTTAACTTCTAACTTCAAGAAAAGTCCAATTTTTATCAATGTATACTTTTTTCCCCCCTCGAGACAAGGTTTGTCTGTGTAGCTTTGGAGCCTGTCCTGGAACTAGCTCTGTAGACCAGGTTGGCCTTGAACTCACAGAGATCTGCCTGCTTCTGTGTCCCCAGTGCTAGGATTAAAGGTCTGTGCTACCAATGCCTGGTTACCAATGGATACTCTTAAAAATAATAGTTTTATTGAATTTTTATGATGTTTAGTCTATATGTGTGCCTCTATCCCATATCAATGCCTGCTGTCCATGGAGACCCAAAAAGGGAATCATATCACCTGGGATTGGAGGTATAGAGAGTTGTGAACCACCATGTAGGTGCTGGGAATTGAACCTGGGTCCCTTGGAAGAGTCACCGATGCTCTTAATCACTGAGCCATCTCTACAGCCTTGGACATAACTTTCTATTTGTTGCTTTATTAATATTGCTTTGGTTAAAATCTTATTTAAAGGTATTATAAAGTTCCTTTTCAAAACCAAAAGGATCTATAACGTAGTTTTATTTTACTATACTGTAACACAGGAGAAGTATTTTTGCATACTAAACTATGGGAGTTTTCATTTAAATTATCAAACGTAAAATAAACTTATCAAAGTGAAATTAACTTTTATTTGACTTTATTTTTAAAGACAAAGTCTTGATATATAATAGCCCAGGATGGGCTCAACCTTATGACCCTTTTCAGCTCCTCAATGGTTAAGATTAGAGGCTTTATGAGTCCAACTCATAAAGACTGATTTTATAATGAAAATAATTAGACAAGCCCTGAGTGTTACTTAAAAAAGTATAATTACCTTCTTAATCTTTTAATTATAAAGGAAAATCCAGCCATCTCTATTATTTTACTCTTGCTATTTGGATGGAGTGTGTTAACCTGCCCTCCACTGACATGATGAGCCCTCTACATTAGACAGGAACAATTGAGTGGAAATAATCATTTTATCAGCATACAAACTCCTAAAAAATATTTTTAGGCTTTTATGCTTACTTATAGAATTTTTTACTTTAAAAGCCTTGTCTCCTGCCAGGTGTGGTGGTACACTTCTTTTCTCACATTTGAAAGGCAGAAGAAGGAGGATGGATTTCTGTGAATTCGAGGCCAGCTTGTTCTACATAGTGAATTCCAGGACAGCCAAGGCTACACAGTAAGACTCTGTATCCAAACAAACAAACAAACAAACAAACAAACAATCACACCCAGGGAATAAATGAGTAAATAAATAAGCAAGTAGGTAAAATAGAAAGCCATCTGTCATGTTTAATTGGCCTCATAATATCTGTCATAGCTTCTGTATAAACTACAAAGGAGGACAGCAGTCACTATACAAAAGACAGAGTATTTCAGAATATTTGTTCAACTCATTAAAATTTATATCATTAATAAAGAGCCAACAGACTTCAGATGCTTTTGGGTGTTACACTCTTAAGGCAAAAGTAACTTCCATTATTTTTAAGGGGGGAAAGAAAGGTAAGTTTACCAAAGCAAAAACAAAGGAACAATACAATACAATAAAAATCACTGGCCTATGTTTCTTAATCAGCATCAATCTCCCATGAGACAAGCAGAGAAACTGCTCTGAGTTTAAAGTGACTGAAAAAACAGAAACAAATAGAAAATACAACCTTGAATTGTATTTGGTGACAGAGAAACAAAACTGCATTGAGGGATGAGGGATGTTTTTGGAACAATTAATGAAACTGAAATATGAATGATGGAGAAGATTAGAGTACTTAAACAATCAGACCTTTTAAAAGTGATTCATGAACATTAGCTATCTACAAGAATATCTTTATTCTTAGTAAACTTTAGATAAACAGAAGCAAAAGGCACACTAATGTATACAACATCCAAATGGTTAAAAATCCACATGTGTGAGGAGAAAGAGAGAATTACAAGGCAAATGTTAAAATCTAAGAAATCTTAGAAAATAAATATGGAAAGTTTATACTAATCCTTGTATTTTTTTCTGGAAGTCAAATAATATTTAAAAATCATTCTTTAAAAGTAAAAACTATTATGTGGAGATTTTTTCCACTATAAAAAATTAAAATAATCTTGACAAAATGGTAGAATTAGTGTGAGTGCTTCAACCAGTGACAGCTTTGATCAGGGGCTGGTGAAGGAGCTCCCACCAGGATGCAGCTCCATATACAGCAGCTTTGTTTATCTAAAAACTGCTTGCGACAATTTTTCTTTAAAGAGGAGACTGCATTAAATTGTGCACAGTGATACTCTGGCATAGCCTGATATCAGTTTCATCCATCATGGTTGTACTCGAGTAATAATGGTCTAATGAACAATCATTTTCCAGTCAATCAATAACTAATGTAACTACATGAGTGCTTAAGGGCTGAGGATGTGTGTGCTTCAGTAAGTTTGATGCCCAGCACTGCAAAAACAAAACAAACTTAAATAAAAACATGCATCTGGAATGTCTACTGCACAGGACAATTAAGGGTGATCTTAATTTTCATCTTGTGTTTAGATGACTTTCCTAGTAAGGAACCTTAAAAAAGAGTGAGAGGATCTGAGAGGTAGCAGATTTCCTGGCATTTGAATTGTATAGCAAAACACATTCCACGCTGATGTCTATGTATTGCCAAAGTTGTCATAAAAGGAGCTCACTTACAGCTGATCTTGAAGCTCGACAATGATATATTCTAACTGTTCCTTCTCCAACTTGTGGGCCAGATCAGAGTCTTCAATCCTCTGAAGTAGTACTTTATTCTGAGAGACAGAGTCAGAAAGTTGGTTCTCACGAAGCCGTAAGAGTTCTTCAAGATAACCCTGGAAACGCAATATCACAAAGATAATGTCAACTGCAAAAACTCTAAGAGATCTTAAGATAAATGCTGAGCGCCATCAGCATTATTTTCATCTCTTTTATAATGAAACATCTCAAAATATTACTGATGATTTGAATTGAATATAGAAATATAGTATGCACTCCCCATTCTTGAATGGGGGGAATGCAGTGGGAGGCAGGGTCTAGTAATATGATTCCAGATAACCTTGAGCACCTCCTGCCCTTGCCTTCCCCTTCCAAAGTTTAAGGGTTATTTAATGCACAGGACTTAAATTGAACTTCATGATGATAAACACAGGATTTCTAAGCCCATAAATATCTAACTACGACTATCAAATTACTTTCTATACACAGGGAATCAACTCCAGATCCTACTCATAGGAAGAAATAGAAGGCAGATGATACCTTCAAAGCAATCACTGCTTTCTTCTGGATTGTTGGTTACTATATATCTGATGCTTACAGAAGTTAATAAGTTAATTGAAAAGTAGGTACAAGACAGGTTCCAAAATCAACTATACTATTATCAAATTGGTATAAAACTCAAGAGTGTGGAAATACTATTTCATTTGTGGGTATGCATGCCCATGCTTTTTACTCCATTGGGATCTGCTCCTTTTGTCCAGCATCGTCTCCTGATGGACCCCAAGGTTAGCTGCTCAACAGTACCAGGGCCTTGCTTGTTGAGATTTATTTTGGAAACAGAAACAACTTTTTCTTCTATGTCAAAGACCAGTGTTGTTGGTTTTTGCTATTTCCTTCTTTCAACCAACTATCCACTTCCTATGTTGTTATTAGTGACTAGCAAAAGCAAAGGTCTATGTTAGCTGCAGCACAGTATAACGATTGGGTAATGAGGGAGTCACCCATCTGACCTTTTTTCTCACAGAATCAACACAAGATTCACAACAGAAGTATGACTTTAAAAGTATCTTTGGCATCTAACGTCATTTCTTTAGGCATGCCCAAATAAGCCACTGCCAATCAAGAGTTCCTTCCCATATATTGGATAGAGATCACATTGACAGATGTTTTCAAGACTAGTTCAAGGCATTGTGTAAACACTTTAGAAAAGTAGACCATAGCAGAAGATGCAAAGAAAAGGAATCTCCCAGTCATTTCCTTTCCTTTCCACATTGTCTTTATTTATTTATTCTTTTAATGTGTGTGGGAGTTTTGTCTACAGGGATGTTTGTGTACTATGTGCATGACTGGTGCCTGTACAGCCCAGAGGACAGTGCCGGTTTTCCTGGAACTGGAGTTAAAGAGGTCTCGGCCCATCTTATGTGTGTTCGGTACTGAACCCTGTGGTACTCTGGAGAAGCAGTACTCTAACCACTGAGCTATCTCTCCAGCCCCCTTCCACCTTGTCTTTGATGACCTGGAGTTTTCTGGAATTCTGGACTAGGAATACCAAATTCTCCCTAAAAATCACTAGTTTTTGTGATCTCTGGCACCATTTTCAAGCTCATCAGATAAAGTCTCTAAGTTTTGAGCAATGTTTTGCTCTTCTAATTCTGAAAGAAAGGGGGCCTGCTTAGTACATTAATTCTGCCACATAATCAGTGTCTTAGGGTTTTCTGCTAGTGTAAAAAAGACATCATAACCATGGCAATTCTTAGAAGGAAAACATTTAACTGGGGTGGCATATAGTTTCAGAGGCTGGTCTGTTATCATCACAAGGGAAGCAGGGCAGTGTGCAGGTCGACACAGTGCTGGAGCAGGGCTTGCTACATCCTGATGGCAACAGGACGTTAACTAACTATGACACCTGGTGAAGCTTAACCAAAGACCGCAAAGACACATTTTCTCCAACCAGGCCACATCTACTCCAACAAAGCCACACCTCCTGATAATGCCACTCCCAGTGAGATTAAGGGGGCCAACTACATTCAAACTACCACACTCTACAGTTCCAGTATTCACTGCACATTCCTGCATCTCTGCAGTTTTACTATTCAACTGCACATTCCTGTATCTCTGCAGTTCCAATATTCAGCTGCACATTTCTGCATGTTTCCTTTCTGGAAAAGCTATAGTTTTCTTCATTATAAAATATGCATCTTCAGAAAGAAGAATGTTTCAGAAAATTTCAAAATTATCTGCAAAGCAGCTGCCCCCTCCCCCCAAGGTTATCAAAATGTCCTTTCATGATGCAAACAAACTTCGGTGTGCACTTACGGGTCTGGATGTGCTAAAGTCTTGGATGTCTTCCACTTCTTTGCAATAGTTGTTCAACAGTATGGACAGCTTCAAGTAGAAAGCTTTGAAATGTGGTGCAATCTAAGAACTGGGCTACCCAAGGCACTGGATCTGTACACATCTTGCTTTACTTTGCAGTTCTCAAATGAGAAACAGTGAGCAGTTGCACATCTGCCTCCATGAGGCTAGATTTTCTCTGAGCAAATAAAATTATGCTTTCTTTCTTTCAAGTAAGTCTATACCAAGCACATCTCCTTTAAGGGCCAGTTCAAATGTGTGACTCTGATAAGCTAGCTATGCCTGCTTTTGAATTCTCCTCAGTGTTAGTAACTCATTTGTTGTTCTTATCTACTAGGTTATTGTTCAGTTGTTGAGACTTAACATGAGAGGTTCTTATGCCCTCAATGAGCTGTTTGTTTTTTGAGATAGGGCTTCTCTGTGTTTCAATGGCTGTCTTTGAACTCAAGAGACCTGCCAGCCTCTGCCTCCTGAGTGCTAGGATTGAGGGGGTTGTGCCATCATGCCTGGCTCATCTCTTGAATTTAACTGCCTTTAGACCTCAGGACGAAGAGGGACAGGACCCAGACAACACAGAACAAAAGCTGTTTCTGGCAGCTTAGAGCTCCCGTCCTGCCCTGTGGCCCTGATTCATGTTGAGGACCTCAAGGTCCTCCATTTATTTTTTATCCACAAGTGTGTAGATGTGTCTGAGGAATGCAGGTTCCCCACAGTGGCCACAAGATATTAGATCCCATGGAACTGGAGTTAAGGGTGGTTGTGAGCTACTTGATGTGGGCACTAGCAACTGAACCTGGATCTTCTCAAGAGCAGTAGGCACTCATAACCACTGAGCCACCTCTCTAGCCCCTAAAACTATTTTTAAAAGATATTTAATTTTTATTCATGTTTATAGTTGAGTGCTTTGGCTGCATGCACATATGCGTGTTCTATGTACATTCCTGGTGCCCATGGAGGCTAGAAGAGTGTTTCAGGTCCTTGGCACTGAAGTTACACATAGTTGTAAGTTGCTTGGCCCTGCTGGGACCACTGCCCGGGCTGAGTATTTGGCCAGAGTGTGGGTCCAACGCCTCCACCCTTTTCTTGAAACATCTTGGGTCAGCTCTGCAAATACTGGACCTGCCCCTCCAAGCAGGACCATCTGGAGCCTGCCCTCACCTGACATTTGGCCCCATCACCTGCCTTATGCCTGAGTGCTTGAGACCATCTACCCTGCCTTCCCCCCACGTCACTGACCCTGCTGTGGCCTCTGCTTGAGGGACCTCCAAGAGAGCTCAGATCAAGAGTTACTGACATGGAACTCCTGACCCATCTACACCTATCAGGAGAGCAGGGGAGAGAGGGAGAGGGAGAGGGAGAGGGAGAGGGAGAGAGAGAGAGAGAGAGAGAGACACACAGACTGACTCTATCTGCACACATTGGAAGAAGTGATGGGAAGACGGCAATACAAGAAAACACACAACAATTGAAAGACCAATATGAGACCACCAGAATCTAGGGACTCTACACTATATATGAACACTCTGAACCAGAGGAAGAAGAAGAGAATAACCTAAAATATAACTTCATGAAAATGATAGAGCCCTCAAAGATGGTATGAGAAAATCCCTTAAAGAAATGGAAGAAAAAAAATCAAACAAAAATTGGAAGAAATAGAGGAAAAGACCAAGCCCCCCCCCCCCAAAATGCAAGAAATGAACAAATATCTTAAAGAAAGCAAGAAAATCCAAGAAAAAAAAAACAATCAAACAGATGAAGGAAACAATTCAAACAGTTCAAGACTGGAAAACTGAAATAGAGACAATAAAGAAAACACAAACCGAGGGATGCTGAAAATAGAAAAACTGGGCAAACCACCAGGAACTACAGATGCAAGCATAAACAGCAGAATACAAGAGCTTGAAGAGAGAATGTCAGGTTCTGAAGATAAACTAGAGGAAATAGATTCATTGACCAAAGAAATCTTAAACCCAACAAATCCTTAACACAAAACACCCAGAAAATGTAGGACGCTGTGAAAAGGCCAAACCTTCTAAGAATAATAGGCTGAGGAGAAGGCGAAGAAGCCCAGGTCAAAGATACAGAAAACATATTCAACAAAATTGTGGAAGAAAACTTTCCCAATACCATACACCAAATAAACTGGACCCCCCCCAAAAAAAAAGGTCCCCTCGACACATAATAATCAAAACACCTAATATACAGAATAAAGAATATTATGAGTAGTGAAGGAAAAAAGGTCAGGTAATATATAAAGGCAGAGCTATCAAAATTACACCTGACTTCTCCATGGAAATTCTGAAAGCCAGAATGTCCTAGATAGATGTTCTACAAACATTAAGACCATGGATGCCAGCCCAGGCTACTAACCCAGCAAAACTCTCAATTACTATGGATGGAGAAAGCAGGATATTCCATGACAAAACCAGATTTTCACAATACATATCCACAATTCCAGCCCTACAGAAAGTTCTGGAAGTTAACTACATTCATAAAGACATAGGCAGCAGATAACCCCCATTTACCAGAACCCAAAAGAAAAAGCAGGACAAATACAACCACAATACCACTGTAAACAACTAATCAAAACAAGCAAGAATTAACAATCAATCGCCCTTACTTTCCCTCAATATTAATGGTCTTAACTTGCCTATAAAAGGACACAGACTAAAAGAATGGATAAAAAGACAGAACCCATCCTTCTACTGCTTACAAGAAACACATTTAAGATTCAAAGACAGTCACTACCTCAGGGTAAAGT